TCTACACTGTAACAGAACCGGTTTTTAAATAACTTTTAATAAAATTTTGGATTAATTTTTATTAATAATTAACATAGGTTATTAAAAAAACCGGTTCTGTTACAGTGTAGAGCTAGTCTAGAACTACAGTTTAAAAAAATATGGTACAATTTTGTCTGTTAGTTGTGTAGAAAAATGTACCTAAATTAGTACAATTTCATATATAAATTTATAGGTTAAATAACCCTTTAAAAATCCGAACTTAATGACCCTAACTATGTTTTGATTAATTAGTTTATTGAACACCCTAACCTTTCGTGAACCCGTAGAATTTAATAATATTAGGATCTTTGTAATAGCTTAAGCGAATTATATGAACTATAAGAGTTTATTATTCTGTAGTTGGGTGTAATTAAAGTTTAACATAACAAATAATATCTCATTAATTAAATCTTTTAAATATTTTTCATGTATACTTCTAAGACATTTAAGAACAACCAGTAATTCACATTCTTTCAATTCGTATTTAACAGATGATTTTTGTACGTACGTACGTATTTTATACTTAATTAACAAAAACAGTGCATACAGCAATACAATACTTAACAAGACGATACAATTATTAATGTTTTTAGTATTTAGATTCGCTCGGCTTATTTTTAACCTTTTTTTTTTTTTTTGCATCGTATCTTCACAGTATATATTGGCCTCGCTTCGTTTATATTCTTTTCAAACCCAACTTCGCATTTTATTTATATCGTAATGTTATTGTCAACTTTTTTTTCGGTTTTGCTTCGCTCTACATTTTTATGTCACAATTTTACTAACGTTTTTTCTTTCTATGGCACTCGGCCTTGCTTCGCCCAGTCTTGTTTCAAACATCACGCTTTTTTTTTCAGAATACCGTTTATTGATAATATTATTGCATAACATATAATCAAGTCCATTAATATTTCATAATCATACAGATATAATTAACTTTAGAAAATGATTGTCAAATTCTTTCTCTAAATTCTTCATTATGACCTTTATATATTAATCAAATTGTCAGGTAAAAAATCCGTTAAAAACAAAATAAAGACAGAAAATGCAGAAATAGATTCATAAATATAGATAAAAGACTAATAAAAAGGCTAAAAAAAAAAGGCTTTTTATCATTTTAGAGCATATATTACATATAATAATGAAACATAATATTACATTATTTTCAAATACTGTATATATATATATAAACATTTTAAAATTACTCTTCATCGCGATGACCATTATCATCAGAATCTTTTTGTCCTGAAGATAATTTTTCAATCAATTTCATTATAGTATTAATTTTTACTTCAATACTTTTAATATCTTCTCCAAATTCATTAAATCGTTTTTCAACTCCTTCAGATTTCACCATAGTTTTAACCTCGCTTTCAATTCCGTCAATTTTCTTTTCAACTCCATCAATTTTTAATCCAACACCTTCAATTGTATCAACTTTTATTGTCATATTAATCATATCTAACAATGAATATGAGAGGTATGGTGGATTGGAACCAGCATAATTCTTTTCGTATACCAAACTAACCAATTGACGAAGTTCATCTACTGATGCTTCATAATTTCTAATACAATATATATATAGAATTAATAATTATTGAAAAATATAAATCAGATTATTTAAATAAAAAATTTGTTATTTACAGGAAATCAGGAAACCAGGTTTGTTTTCTTCTTTGAGATGGTAACATCCAAAAAAGTTCTATCTCACTTAAAGTCTAGACATAAAATAATATAAATATTAAAATTTTACTTATAAATTTATGAAAGGTATAATTTAGTTTAATTAATTACCACAGCTCTCAAATGTAAAAATGACTGTTTGTTATTTGCTTCATTGATTGCAAGACTAAGTAAACCAATAAACAGGTTCATCAAATAAATAGTTGTAGTAAATGAAAATACAACCAATAGAAGAACCAATATCCAATCTTTAGCAAGAACCGATGTACTAATCAGACTTATGTCCCCTAATAAGTACGAAAAATAAATAATAGTTACTATAGTACCGGTATAATTTGTAAGTATGATCATTATTACCTGTCATCATAAAATATACTGCTAAAAAGGAAGAATATAGCATTGAAAACATGCTTAGATTATCATCATCAGAATCATCCATGATGTTTTCGGCAGTATAATTCTGAGAATTATTCACTTCACCACTATAACTTTGTTGATCCGAATAAGATCTTAATAGAAGATGTAAAGAATGTGCGAACGCAAAGATAAAGATTGCCAAAACTACCAAAAAAGAGAAAACTCTTTGTGCGACTCTGATCATTATTGCAAAATAAGTTCCAAAGTATTTAATCGCACGAAAGAAAAGTAGAAATTTCAATTCAAGTAATAAGGTTGAAATGACAGTTTCCCAAAGGGGTAATTTTCCAGTTTGAAGCCATGAAATAGAAGTAAAAATTGGAAACAATATCACAACAAGATCTAATTATAATATGAAAATTAGAATGAACAAGAATTATCGAATTATATAAAATGAAATAATATACATACTAAACAAATGCCAATAACTAAGTATGAATAATCTTGGATTATGAATAAATCGTCGTATCTCAAATATTAAGTGAAAAATTCCTAGGAAAATAGTTAATACCAAGAGCATAACTTTATTGCCCCAAGAAATTTGTGACATGGTTGCAGCGATCGTAAAACTGCACATAAAGGCTGTATATATTGCCCATATAAAAAAGTAATAATGTCTTCCATAAGTATCCCATTTAAATTGGACAAGAGCTTCCAGATTCCACCATTCATATATCTCGGAAGAAAATGAATAAGTGAAAGAATTATTACTAGGAAAAATTAATTCTTGTAAAGTTAAATAATCTTTAGAATAAGTAGAAAAATTTAATAAAGGAACCATTAATTTGATGGTTAATTGAGCTTTAGATTTTTGATAAAATGAAATGGGAAAATGTAAAGTTTTATAAAATTTTGGATAATTAAAAGAAATCCAATATATTACACGGTTTATTAAAGAAGTTTCGGTTAAATAAAAATATTCGCCACAATGCTGAATGTGGGAAGCGTTAGAATTACTTACTAAAGAATCTTTAAAATTATGAGAAGGAATGAATGCTAAATGTGCTAGCAATCGAGTAACAAAAGTAAAAGATTTTTCAGATAATTGAGGGAATGAAGAAAAGATAATATTTACTAATTTACTAAATGATGAAAGATTTCCTTCTTCTATCTGAAGTTCACTTAATTTAAGGCATTTTTTAAAAAATGCTTCGATCAATTCATCATCATCCTCTTGTAATAATGCACACATAAGATTATCACCGTATAATTCCAAAAGCAATACGTTATCCATATAATCTTCAAGTAAATTGTGAAAATTAGGTGCATTCGTTACCCATTCTCGGTCATTATCAGTAAACCATGTACTTCTTTTGCGCATTTTAACAATCTTATTAAAATGTGGTGGAGGCAATAGTTTTTTGTTTGAAAATTTTAAATGGTCATTGTCAAGAATCCATTCGAGATTCATTATTATTCCTTCTTTCGGTATTTTAGACCTGATACCGTCATAAATTCCCCAATAATAAAGTAAACCAATTTCACCGTCAGATTTAACGGTCCAAATAAATACACCAATAGGTGTGATCATCAATAAATCTTCACTTTCTAAAAGCTTACATTCCATGAAATAGGTGGATTTACTTAATAAAAAATGGTTCGAAGGAAGTTCTATACTTTTCTCAATAGGTTCCCGACTTTCTTCTTCATTCTGTTCTTGGTTAAATATCTGAACTTTTAATGAAAAATTTCTTCTTGTTTCAAACCTATCATGATAGACCACATTCCAAGAAAGCATATCTCCTTGGAAAGTTTGTTTTTTGGATTCGGATCCAGAGTAATGATTCGATTTATAACTTTCTAAAGTGTCCACCAACATTTTCTTAACAGCTTCTCCACAAAAAAAGGTTGGAATTCTGCTGATGTCTTCAATTATTAAACGTAAATATTCGGTCCATTCTGGTTCCGCTATTTCCTGAACAAATAAACGATTGTTCCATACCCTTATTATATGTTTTTGGTGAACTGTAAACACATCGATTTCATGTTCACCATATTTTAAAAGATTAATCGCAGAATAAATTTGAAGAGTATATGGATTTGCCATCTTATGTGTTAATTTTCTAAATGTTTTTGGAAAATGTCCTCTGACAATAAACCGCTCCTCTTTACCCGTTCCAAAGAATTCTAACTTATCTATGACTGCAGGAGGGACAGTTTCGATCTTACCTAGATGATAAAAAAAATTTTTTTTTTATGATAATGTATTTGATAGTAATGATAAAATATAATTTACCCGCAAAGTAAATTTAAAAAAAAAACTTACATTTTGTCATTATAACACCGGTTTCCACTGAGTATATATAAAACATATCCCAATTTTGGTGTCTACCATATACTACTAACATTGTCAAATCATTATTTAAATAGGTGTTTATATCTGAACGATTGCCATATAGATATCCATTCAATAAATATTGATTTTCAAGTTTCAAAGTTTCTAAATCCCATTGTGAAATTAAGAATGGCATATCAAGAAGTAGTAACAATTTTCCTTTTGGATGGATGATACATCTACGAAATTTAGGGAGTTCTATCATTCTCTTGCACAACCATTCAGGTTTTGAAAAGACATAGGCTCGGCTCACAGGATCACCTTTAATTACCACCAAATCATCATTTTCGAGGAAGCCAACTTCATGAGTCTCACCTTCTAAACCTTGAGCATTTAGAGTACAAGGCTTTTTTGCCACGAGATTCATTAGTACTTTAAAAATATTTTAATTAGTTCAAATGATAGAACACAAATATATATTAATTAAACGATTAAGAAACTGACCAAAATCATAAGGAGCATCTCTCTGTGCCCTGATTATGACATGTTTGCTATCAGAAACCCCATATAACTTGCAATTATGTAGATGCCTAATATCACCACTGGGAATCAAGTAATCAAATTTGAGTTCTTCCTGTCCTTTAACGATTGGATATCCATACACTGATTTGTCTTCTTCACTCCAGGTCGCAACATACGTTCCATTTGGTGAGCAGACAATGCTTGTGGCAATTTTTTTATTGTGAGGGATATCATCGTCATTGACATCAATAGTGACCTCTTCAGAATGAGTGTCTTCTTTTGTTTTTTTTGAACTTGATCGTCGTATCTTACTCATTGTGGTTTGTTTTTTTTTTCTTTTTGGAAATCTAGAATGCTGTCAAAATTTCTATGCCATCGTATTTATTAAAGTTTGTTTTACTTATGTATCTGCAACGATGCATAGCCATAACATTTTTTTTGATACTGAGCCATTTACAAACAAGGCCTGTCATAATTAAAAATGCTATGTTTATGCTTAGCATACTAATAAACACATACGCACATAAACTAATATGTCCTATTATTATTAAGCTAAGCAAATTGTTAACCTAGCCTCACACATAGTTAATGATAGTGTTGTATTTTTACGTCAAAATAATTTGACTATTTTATTCATATCGATATTGTATAATTGTTTTTACCATATCGATATGATCTGATTTCTGTACGTTGTGAAGGGTAACGTGACCCGGCCGCAGCGAAAAACGTGATCCATGCATATGACTCGGGACAATAGTAAGGTGCCTCTGATATTCAATGGTGGGAACTAAAGTCAGTCATAAAATGAGTATGAATTACTCATCGTTAGTCATAGATTTCCCCTGATACTTTAAATAGTCACATTGGTTAAAGATTCTAATCGTTGTAGCAAAGGCCCAAAGTTATCTGTAATGTATAATAACCATTGACTTCATGTATCTGAAAAATAGTGAAATATTATAATAATAAGACTACATAGGATCCTTGTTTCTCGAGCCAAATTTTCCACGTCCTCTTTCGAGTAGCCTTGTCTTTTTGGTTGTGTTTTGGCTATGAATTATAGTCATTCCAGATTCGCCCTTTTACGACGTACTTGGCAAAGAATCGACATCACCAATTCCGTAAAAGGAAAACTTATTTCATCCTTTACCTTTGCCAAAAGTGCATTTCATCTATGCGAAAGTACGTACGTACGTACGTCCATCTCAAAAATTGACTAATTAATCGATACATGGTACTCTAAGTAAAAATGCTCTACACAATAAACCACTTCCAAATCTTGAATAACACTGAATACTAACCTTAACGTGAAAAGTTTGAGTTAAAAATTTTATATAAAATTAGCGTTTTATAATAAATTTTCATTTTTTGTCAACTACCTGCGCTGGTAATAAAAGCCGCAAAGAAAATTAACGAAAAACAAAGTAAACTAGAGATTCAAGCTTATTAGTTAGGATAAGTTTCAATGGTTAAAGAAGTAGTTCAACATTGCACCTTCAATTAGTACCTCGAAGTTTGTTTTGAACAGGAGGAACAGCACGCACCTAAAATAGAAACATGCTATATGAAAGTGTTTAAGAACCCGACTTATAAAAGATATGCTAAGCCTAAGTGTTGGTTATTTTTCGAAATGAAGGCCTTCTAAAAATTATTTTTTAATATTTTCCAGCGAAGATGCTTTGAAAATATCATTTTCTATATTCTACCAGAGATACAATATTCAATAATATTTATATTAATCCCCTGTCCTTCATTATTATTTTTACACGTGATTAACCATATTTATAATAATCATATTGTGACCGGGAATCTTCCCACGAAAGTTTCCTGGTCTCATATTGATCATCGGGAAACTAATTTTTAACGCTTAATTTTTATTTGAATTATTTTCTTTTTTGTATTTTTCACGTTAAAAGCCAAAGTAAATATGCACAGTAAAATGAAGCTAAAAAAGGCACGATAAGAGCAAAGTGAAAGTAAGAGTTTGAAAAAGTTAAACGTAGAAGTAAAAAGCAAAGGTGATGAAAAGTGTAAAACAATAAAAATGATGTAAATAAAAAAAAAATAAAGCGAAGCCCAAAAGTTAGTAAAGCAAAACACGTGTAAAAATAATGGTATGATAATCCGATCAACATCTAGTGACACGGGATTATTTATTTATTTCCTGTGGGGAAATTATCATAGTATATGGATGGCCCGAAGGGCCATGTACTATAATCATCGGTAACCTCCTCTGTTATAATTTCTACACCCCCAGGAAATAAATAATACTAATTTTTATTATAAATTTACACTCATATATAAACATATGTGACATCTTCCCTAACTATTATTTTTTTTTTAATGTAAATTTTTGTACGTTTCATTTACAGTTGCTTAAATCTAAGTTGGTTAATTAATTATTAGAACAATTAGCATTCTTTAATTGAGGGCAATTATTAAGCTTCAAGTTGGTTAATTGAATAAAAACTTTATTGATTATTTTTGTTGTACTAATTTAACGTACTCAAACATTGCATTATCGTATAATTTTCAATAGTAAAAGTTCTTTAATTGATCCTGCTTTTAGTGTCTATTAGGAATGCTACCCCGGTCAAACTAAACTGAATTAGTAGTTTGACATATAAGTTAGTTTAACTAGTTCGACGATGATTATTACTAAATCATAGAAGAACTGGTGCAAATTATCAGTAATTTTTGTCATATAGATAAGTATTAAATAACAAATTTAGATATTTTACAACTTTATTTTTTTTATTTATATATTCGTTAAATATCATTTGGAATCCCTATACCATAAGACTTACTACCAATTATTTTTGATAATCTTTCACTGATTTCCAAAGTATTAAATGGTTTACTAGTGTATCTATTTTTTAGCTCTTCTTTAATTA